AGCCGTTTTTTTTATCGTCTAAAAGAAAGTGTACATTTTATTGTCATGCACCAAAAATTACCATTAACATCGTTTGACATGAATTTTTACTTTTATTTGTCAGGCATGAATGTACCATCCATCATGACCCTCATACAGTGTGTTGAAGTCGAGCACATTTGAAATGTTAATTAAATATAAAAAAAACTTATTATGTATTATTTCATTTTTTTAAGAACAACTGGAATTTATTTTACATGTATAACAGTATAACGGTGTGAGCCAATGCTCCGTGTTGAAGGCCGTACCGTGACCTATAATGGTTTACTTTTATAAATTGTAACTTGGATGGAGAGTTGTCTCATTGGCACTCATACCACATCTTCCTATATCTATTAAGTATACTATTTGCTAACCCATCTTACAATCATTTATTAATTTTTGATAAAAATTATGTACCATTGAAGATAAATGGTTTATAGTGTTCTTTTCATTTCTACGGAAGCGTATTAGCGCCACACAATTTTTTTTTATATTTCTTCCTATGTTTGAGTTATACCGTTATTAATGGAGGAAGCTGCATGTATTAAAGTGTGTATTAAAAATTGAGTAGCTGATCAATCTCTCTTTTCTTCGTTGAAAGGCAAACTGCATGTTAAAAGTTGGTGGTAGATGATTAAAATGTTGTTTGAACTTTCTGCAAGTAATAAAACACATCATTTGTTTCATGACTTCAATTAAGAATTACGCAAGATTTTAAAATACGGAGTGATAACATAGATCCAGAATGGTTAGCACAAAAATACATTTTATTAATACTTTAAACTATTTATCTTCAACTAGTAATTTTCAGAATAATTGTATGTAGCAAAAGTTATATAAGTATACTATTGAGGATCGAACCTGTAATTCAGTAGTTGTCGTTTGTTGCTGTGTACATGTAACATATTTGTTTTTCGTTCATTGTTTTGTACATAAAATAGTCCATTAGTTTTCTCGTTTGAATTGCTTTACATTTGTCATTTTGTGTCCTTTTATATCGGACTATGCGGTATGGGCTTTGCTCATTGTTGAAGGCCGTACGGTAACCAATAGTTGTTAATTTCTGTGTCATTTTGGTCTCTTGTGGAGAGTTGTCTCATCGGCAATCATACCACATCTTCTTATTTTTATACTGATGTCAATAGTTGATTTATTAATTTGTGTATTGAACTGGGTAATAAAGTGTCTATTCAGTTATGTTATACAAGAGATATTAACTGTGGTCACTTGAGATTGGCATTAAAGTGGAGGTAATTTGAAATTCATTATTCTCATACCTTGGAGTGTAATTGTTTGTAAATCACGACAATTGACCTATCAGAATTGTTTACTATAATGTATGTTCTTACCAGAAAGTGACTAACAATTTGACTTTAGATGATACTTTGTACCCACTTGGAAACTGTGACATACTCTCTGAATATCGCTAGTCTAATTCAATAAGTAAAATATACAAGTCCTTGGCTAAATCCCCAATCATCATTATTTTATATGCATGCATCATACTCAGAACACTTGACGTTAAGCAAACAACAATCAATCAATCAAGCTCAGAACCGTTGGTTTTATGAAAACTTTAAACCCAAACTTAAGAGGACGAGTTTTCATTTCAAGCAAAATATACTTTTTTCAAGGTTTGGATTAATTGAAGAATTTTCCTATTTAGCGAGGAAATGTTTTGCATGTTTCGTGATTTTTCTTCATAAGCGTATTTTAGATTCTAGGATACTGTTTGCGGTCACAATGTTAACTTGTTATTTAAAAGCTATTTCATTATGAATGTAGCTTGTGTTATTATTTTAAACACTTTATCCCATAGCTGGGCCCACTTTTTAGAAAATAAACAATTTGTATCTACCAGATGAAGTCATTGTTATGCTATGTGTATGTAAATCTTCTTACTCTTGGTCATGATGTTATCTGTTTGGTTTTATTTCTTTGTGGGTTGTTATAATGAAGACAATTTCTGTGTCATTTGGTCTCTTGTGGAGAGTTGTCTCATTGGCAATCATAAAACATCTTTTTATTTTTATACGACTAGTTTTGTAAGAACGACCCATATTATGTTTCCACAAACTTGAAAAATGTACATTTTTTTTAATAGAGTGGACATGTAATGATCATGTATGCACCATTCCACCTTTAAAAGTTGGTTAATCTGGGTTTTTTTATGCTAAAAATAGAATATATTCACCAAAGATATCAGACCATACACGTGAAACATACACTAACCACTGAATAACTTTTTTGCTGACAATTCCATTTGAATTGTCACTAATTATTGTCTGCATTGATATACACATGTAATTATCTTTTAACTGTTTCTTTCCAGTGCTCTTAGTCTTGAATATGGGATCATTAGATAATATCACAGAGGAAGACTGACAAAATATTCCTTCATCAACAAATTCTATTCAATAATATTAACATGGATGTGCCAGGTTTCTAATTCATACCAAGTATCTTGTCAAGTCCGTATCTCAGATACTATAAGCAATACGTCAACTATATTTGGTGTGTGGAATGATTGTAAGGTGTACATGTCAGACTGGCAAGTTTCATCTGACCTTTTCCTCATTTTTAGGGTTCATTGGTCAATATTAGGTTTTTTGTTGTTTGTTCTGTTTCTTAGATACTGTAAGCAATAGATCAGCTGTATGTGGTGTAAGGAATGATAGTAAGGTGTACATGTCTGTCTGGCAGGTTCATCTGATCTTGACCTTTTTTTAATGGTTCATTGGCCAATGTTAAGTTTTTCCAGTTTGGTCTTTTTATCAGATACTATCAGTTATAGGACAACTGTATTTGGTGACTGGAATGATTGTATGGTGTACATTTCATCTGACATTGACCTCATTTTCATGTATCATTGGTTAAAGTTAAGTTTTCATGGTTAATGTTAATCAGAAACTATAAGAAAAAGGTCAACTTGAATTATTTTATGGAATGATAATTAGATGAACATGTGTGTCGGGCAGGGTTCATCTGACATCTTAAGTTTTCATGATTATATCCGTTTCTCAGATACTAAAAGCAAAATGTCAACTATTTTCCGTGTATGTAATGATTGCATGGTGTTCGTGTTGTTTGGCAGGGTTCATCTGACCATGACCTCATTTTTATGGTTCATTGGTCAATGTTCAATTTTTGTAATTAGGTCTGTTTCTTAGATACTATAAGCAATACTCTAACTATGCAACGTTCAGTGTATGGTATGAAATTCAATCATGATAAGTATAGAAGCAATACATTTCTGCGTTTGTCTTATTTTGAAAAGATTGCTTCAATATTTTTCAGAATAAAGAAAAACAAAGCAATTCCAATATTGAATGCATCATTCCATTGTATATTGCAAGTAAGGTCTCATTGAGAGGGAACCTAAAGATAAGTTTCTGAATTGGTAAGTAACATAATACTACATTAAATTCCTTCAGAACTTAAGTCTAGACCTAGAGTTTGTCGAAGTGTGGGCTCTTGTCCACCCTTGCATATATGGCATCCTTTAGATATTTGTAGTTAATATTTTTGTATTGTTGGAGTGCTGTCTGGATCATTGACACATATCATGCATCTCATATTCGTCATATTAAAATTGTGTAAATGTTTTGGGCAGATATAATTGACAAATGTCAACTACATTACAATATCTTCCTTATACAAAGCTCTGATCCTTGTAGTTTATGTATGTGTTCTAGGGAGATATAATTGACAAATGTCAACTAGATTACAATATCTCCCTTATACAAAGCTCTGATCCTTGTAGTTTATGTACTGTAAATTCAGAAATTATTGCGTGCATTTATTTTTGCGATTTTGTCATTTTAGACTTAAATGCGATTTTAATTTTTACGATTATGAGAAAAATCCTGTTTAGTTCATACAAAATATTTCAAAATGCGAGTTTAAATTATTGCGTTTACAACTCTGTCGCATTTGTCGCAATAATAAAAACCTCGCAATAATTTCTGAATTTACAGTATGTGTTCTAGGGAGATATAATTGACAAATGTCAACTAGATTACAATATCTCCCTTATACAAAGCTCTGATCCTTGTAGTTTATGTATGTGTTCTAGGGAGATATAATTGACAAATGTCAACTAGATTACAATATCTCCCTTATACAAAGCTCTGATCCTTGTAGTTTATGTATGTGTTCTAGGGAGATATAATTGACAAATGTCAACTAGATTACAATATCTCCCTTATACAAAGCTCTGATCCTTGTAGTTTATGTATGTGTTCTAGGGAGATATAATTGACAAATGTCAACTACATTACAATATCTCCCTTATACAAAGCTCTGATCCTTGTAGTTTATGTATGTGTTCTAGGGAGATATAATTGACAAATGTCAACTTCATTACAATATCTCCCTTATACAAAGCTCTGATCCTTGTAGTTTATGTATGTGTTCTAGGGAGATATAATTGACAAATGTTAACTAAATTACAATATCTCATAGTTCTGATTCCTTGTATGGGTTACGTTTTACATTTGTTCCTTTTTTGTTTTCTCAATTTTTTCTCATTTGTATTAAGTTTTGGGATTTTCAAATATTTTGTCCTCATGCATCACTGAAGAGAAATTAACTGTACAAATGTGTATCGGGTGCAGTAAAACTGGTATCGTTATATTCATTATTACCACTGGGTTGATACCTCTGCTGGCGTATTGTTAGTCCCTAATGGTATCACCATCACAGTGGCCAGTACGTCTGTCATGACATGATAATATGGAAATTGTTTTTTCATGGAATTTGCTGTTTATATACAATTTGGAGGTAATTTTAAATTAAGGAATGTATCTCCCTCACAAATAACTCTGATACCTGGTCCTGGTTAGCTAAATATTTAGTCCTTTTTAGTTTTATACATTCCTAAATCATTGTATTAGGTTTTGGATTTTCAAGTATTTTGGCCTCAAGGATCACTGAAGACTTTGGGTTCCGCTATTGTTATTAAAGCAATATAAAATACATGATGTTTTTTATTTTTATTTTCATTATAATGATTGTTCTTAGTAAAGAATTATAACTAATACTTTTGAAAAAATAATTATAACTGCTTGTTCAGACAAAAACAAGATAACTGATAGCCCTCAGTCATTGGTTAATTCAAACTCATAGCTAGCGTGCTTTCATTGGTTAATGAAAAAATCCACCTCTTTCATTAGTTAATTAAAAACATTTCTCCTAATTCATTGGTTATTTCAGAACTGATAGTCATCTTTCATTGGTGTATCTTTGTCTTCTCCTCCAAGTCTCTTTGGTCCATCATAATCAATTCCAGGCTTATACTCTGCTTCTATGACTTCTGGTTCCTGAAGACTAATACACCCTTCTTCTACTGCCTTCAGAAAGGACATGCCCTGAAATAAAAACAATGTTACTTCTACAGCCTTCAGAAAGGACATGCCCTGAAATAAAAACAATATTAATTCTACTGCCTTCAGAAAGGACATGCCCTGAAATAAAAAACAATGTTACATATATAACATGGCAGATATAGTTACAACCTGAAAATGATATATAGATATAAGAAGATGTGGTATGAGTGCCAATGAGACAACTATCCATCCAAGTCACAATTTGTAAAAGTAAACCATTATAGGTCAAAGTACAGCCTTCAACATGGAGCCTTGCTCACACCGAATAGCAAGCTTTAAAGGGCCCCAAAAATGATAAGTGTAAAACCATTCAAACAGGAAAACCAACGGTCTAATCTATATAAAAAATGAGAACGAGAAACACTTATGAACCACATCTACTAACGACAACCACAGAACATCAGGTTCCTGACTTAGGACAGGTGCAAACAAATGCAGCGGATTTAAACGTTTTAATAGGCGTCAACCTTCACCCTACCTGAAACAATAGTGTAACATCACAACATAGAAATACACACTATAAAATATCAATTGAAATGGCTTAACTCAATCAAAAGACATATTAACAAAAACAAGTGAACATGCACTGAACGAATAAATTTGATCTATGACACAATGTAAATACAAAATTAATAAAACAAGGGGGTTAGATGTAAAACAATATCAGAAAGACAACCATAACCTTGGACAAAATGCGGCCAAATAAAATAACGTACACAGGTAAATAAAAATAATTTTGTTGTAAGGTATACATGGAATACGGAAATAATTTTTACAAAATAAATAATTTTGTTGTTCCTAGTATGAGAAAAAAAGTGAAAATTTAACGTCATACTAAACACTTATCAAAGGTGGAATATATCAAAAATAGTGAGACTAGATATAATTTTACACTGAATAAGTAAACATTAAATAACAAAAATACATTACAAATTGTATCAACAAGTCAAATTAACACAAAAGTACGATTTGAGAGTACTTGCAATTACTGAAAGCTAGTTAAAAGCCAAAAACAATTAATAATAAAAAATCATGCATCAGAGACTAAAATCAACTAATACACATCCCAGGGATTTAGTGTTTTAATGTCATGGACAGTCAAAGAAGACATGACTTGTGCAATGCCAAAATAAAAGTATTGACAGGCAGTAGGATAGTTAGGAGTTAACCTGTTAATAAATATGTATAATGTAATATATACAAGTCTAAATTGAAAACAACGTTCAAACCTATGATTGCGTTGGATAAAAACCGCAATTTTTATACGTGTGCATGCAAAAAAAAATTTCTTGGTAGAGGGGTCTAAATTCAGCACAAACAACATTTTCCAAAAGACCAAAAAAGTGAAAAAGTATATCTTAACAAAACGCATTTGATTAGCAGGTCGAACAACGGATGTTCCTAATCCCTGCTGACTGCCATTAGCGATTGCCAAATAAACGGATCACCGATTTAATAAATGGATCTTAATTATAAATTTAGTACAAATCAGAAAACAATAAACTTGCGGAAAAGATGGTATACCGCAAACAAAATGTAATATATAGACGCCGATAGAATGTAGGATCGCTATGTCTCATTTTGCGACAAAAGTCGCAGGCTCGACAAAAAGATGAGCACTTACTGCTTCCGATGTAAAATTTTCTTTTTCACCCAAGAAAACACAGGAGACCCCAGCTTCTAAACATCTCTGTGCTAAAATAGAACCAATATTCTGTGCTGCAGATACATCTTTTACACTGAAAATAAAAAATTAAAGACCTATACATATAACTGGTTCTAGTAAGTATAGATTACCAGGTTTTCATCGACAATATAAAATATCAGCTGACAGCCATAATAATATGAGGCTTTCGTCGAGTGAGCATAACAAGAGAGCTAAAAAAAGCTTCATATTTTGTCGAGCAGCTCATATTTTAACAATAACCCTATGATGATATTCGATTACTGGATTGTAGTGGTATTTTTTTATGATGGAAACAATAGTTTTCCTTTATTTCACCAGCAAGCCTAATGAGGACTTGACATGTTCAGGTCAAACTTATTAACTTCAGTTCTAACATTATGATGTTGGTGATATGTCAATTATCAAAATAATAAAGACAGGGTGAATGTAATTGACATCACCAAGCTGTTTGAGCAATTATACAAAGAGCTGAACAGAGTGATACAGACAGAGGAGAGACTGATAATCTATACATCTGTCCTACTGTCAGATTTTCACATTTATTTGAGACTGAACTTTTCGTATAATAAAAGGAACTGCAGTGTTCTCCCAAGATATTTCATATAGCATCCTGGTAAACAGGGAAATTTGAAATACCATCTTGTTTCAAAAAATTATAGCATCACATCCATAACATAATCTATAAGAAAACCACTTCAAATAGCATGATGCTAAAAGGCCCTGGGGAGAACACTGAACTGACCATTGATCTTTAGGGGTAGGGGGTGAGCTTCTATCTGGAAAAACAATTTTTTTCATCTTTTCAACTTTTATCATTTTTTTTTCTCCAGAAATTTAGAATCTAATAAACAATAAACTGTTGACACAGAGATTATATGTCTATTTTTTTGTAATTTTGATGGCACAATGCAAATGTTGAAATTAAAACGACAAGATTTTAACATGTAAACTATGCAAATAATTCAAAGTCAATGAACCATGACTGAAGGTGCAGGGCCAAATATCCTCCATGGAAATGTGAAATGCCAATGCTTATAAAACTGCATATCAAATACCATTGACTTATCATATGTGATTCCCTTTAAACTAGAGCCAAACAATATTCGTGAAAATGAGATGTGCCAATGCTAATAAATCTGCATACCAAATATCATTGACCTACCACTAATAGTTCTCCTTAAACTGACCTAATCACAAATCAAAACATGTAAACTATGCAGAGGTTTCAAAGTCAATAGACCATGACTGAGGGGCATGGCAAAATAATCTCCATGGAAATGAGATGTGCCAATGCTTATACTTCTACATACCAAATATCATTGACCTACCACTAACATGACTAATGGTTTCACTTAAACTGACCTCATCACAAACTAAAACATATACAATGATATATGTAAACTAAGCAAAAGTTTAAAAGTCAATCTTTGTGTTTTATTTTATTGGTTGATCTAATATAAATTGGAGTCCTACAACTAAGTGGACCACTCTTCCTGAGGTATGCTTACAAGTTTATCATTATATAAAAACAGAGAATAACAAACCTATACAAATGTCTCCTGATGGCCCATTCTTTAGTTGAAGCTGAAACAACTGTGTCACCAGTCCAATGGACCACTTTTCCTGAGGTATGTTTAGAAGTTTTATCAAACACTAACCTACAAGCAATGAGGATTAAGATATAGAGATCATTTTATCTGTAAAAATAAACTTCATTCATGGAATATTTTATCTGAGATAGAAAATATGAAAACGTTCAAATATTTAAATACATGCTCAATAGGCTTAAAAAAGTCCTTTTCATACTTTTTTTCTTTAAGGAGTTATTTCTATAGATGTGAGTAACATACCATTAACAAGAATATGTAATTATAGCTATAGGACACCATGCCACACTTACATTATCACATTTTTTTGTTCAGTGAACCATAAAATTTGGGTCATAACCCTGAATTACTTTATACATTAATGGTTCACTCCATAATGAACACATGTGTACTACGTCAAGAGTTGATGTGAATACAACCTACCTAAGCCAACACTTTTTTCAACCTTCAACCAAAACTTAAAACTGATACTGGACAATGCTGGAGGGAGGGACAAACAATGGGACACAAGGACTGGAAATGTAAAGCCCTTCTACTACTGTAAAATGTTCAGTGATTTTAAAGTCCAAACCTTTACTTGGGGTTCTAATACTATTTTCTCTTTTTTTGTTTCTAACTTTAATCTTCCTTAGAAATCACAATTCTATCTAATTCGCATAAAAAGCAGAAATTAGTACATTGGAAAATTTTCTAGTAATCTGGGAGAAAAAATGATCCAATTGGGATATACAGGTAGCAATATAAAATATTTTTTCCACAGATTTTTAAATGACAATATGCAGTCAAACTTATACTTTCTTCCGTGGTGGTTTAAAAATGTTTGTTTAATTCAAGTGAATCCATCAGGCCCTTTTTCTATAATATTTGCAAAAATCAGAGAATGACACAAAGTAATTATCAAGATTTCCACAAGAGGAATTAATTTATGTCTATACTTGTTGTAATATTCTCTTGTTGGACTTTGGAATTTCCAGCCCTGTCTTTTCCTTGCTAATGCCATCTGCTCAAGGTTCCTAAAAAAATAAATTAGACATGCATGAAAAAAAGAGATATCAAAATTATAATTTATATTTATTTTTACCCATTTTACCAGTCTGATTTCTGACAACAAGCTAATGTGGTATATAAATGGTTCCTGTGTCATCTTTACCCATCTGATTACAAGACTGTGTACATACCTTGGGTTTCTATTAACAAAGTCTGGGTTTATTACATAGTCTTTATTTTCACCAGAACCAAGAACACCACATGTTGAAAACTGCTTCCCTGGAAAAAACACAAAATAGAATGTAAAATTTATATGAATATTCATCATATTAGAAAGATAGTACAGATTGAACTATACACATATTTATTAATTATCTTTATGCATGGGCAGCAGTCAATTTTGTCTGGTCTTGCAATAACCATTCCACAATTGACTAAAAGGGAAACAACCTGTGTAAAAAGTGTGTAATATTACAGGATATTGATAGACAATATAATTATGACATCTTGAAAGACTATCGTAGTAAGGCGTCACAACAAAAAATAAAAATAGCAAGAAACAACATTAAAGCATATTTCATACTTTTCAAATGTAAATTTTACATTTAGAAGCACATTTATTAGCTACCTTCAAGACATTGTTACTATTTGACTAGGTTATTGGCAAACAGACTGTATTCCAACCAGACCTTGTCGTAAATTCATACATACCATACAGCCAATTAAACAACCAACTTTAGCAAGGGTTTTACTGTAGTCCAAATAAATATGACGTCTTGAATGGCTATTTTAATTTTTTGCTTTCAAGACGTCATAACTATTTGGACTAGTTTTACTGATAAAAATGTAAAGTCAAGGTGATCACATTTTTTCACCCCAGTCGACCCTTGTGGTTTGTCCATTGGTTGAGAGAAAAGTTATATTAGATTTAAAGTACATCCCTTGATGTCTATGGTAGTCCCTTCCTTTCCCTTTGTTTACAATTTCATAACTTCACGTATACTTAACTGTATGCCTTCGTCTTTCTCTATTCCAATATAAATTCATTGCTAGAAATTCAGATGTGCAGGTGTGGGTAGAAGGTTGGGGAAGATTCTCATAATGATGACTATCCCTATTTATGGGTATCGGGTCCGTTCGCTCCCTGAACACGTTCGCACCCTACAAGTTCGCAATCCACATGTTCACCCTGGGTTCTTTCACACACCCTACATGTTCGCACCCTATTTTTATTCAAATACTGTGGATTCATTATTATTCGTGGGGTACCAGTTTTCGTGGGTACAGACAAACCACGAATTACGATGTCCAACGAATTACAAGTTTTCTATAAGGTTGTATGCAGACATTGGCAAAACCACGAAATCAAATATCCAAGAAAATGCAAGTTTGTCTCAATCCACGGAAATTGGTACCCACGAAAATAAATGAATCCACAGTACAGGCTGAATTATTTGATGTTTTTAAGATGTACTAGAACACAACTGCTGGTCCGTGACTGAATTAAAGTACCTACGACTTATTTTTAGTATTCATATTGTCACTTTCAATCAACACCATTGTTCTATATATTTTTAGTTATATCTTAAGTTGAATTCTTTGATTCGTCGTTTTAACGTCATACCGGCTAACAAATTGGACCTCGTTATTTTAGGAGTATAGATATAGATCCAAATATTTATATTTTCATGAATAAAAATTTGTGAATTTTCTAAATGAAATATTGTTTTTTTGTGATAAGATGATTAATTCTTAAATGTTAATTATTTATGATTACTGTTGAGTGTTCATTGGTATTTACAAAGCTAATTTGGTATCATTATTCTGGCTTTGGTGTAGTTACCCTAAATATTTTACTGCTCTTTAAAAGTTGCTGTTGTGGCAATGTCATTGTGCTAAGTTTGAAAGCCTGTTAATATCTTCCGCCTTTCTTTAACAAATCTTAGATGAGTGACCTTGGCCTTTGTGTAAAGCAAAATATTGTCCTATGAAATATTGTCCCCCAAGACAATATTTCATGACTATGCATCATGAAATATTGTCCTCATCTATGGAAAAAAGTCCAGAGAAGGACAAATTTCCATTGTGAAATTTTGTCTGTTTACAGGCAATATTTCACAGATGAATACTATGAAATTTTGTCCTGTTAAAGGGAGGTTATATTTTGTGTGTATTGAGACAATATCATGAATATTTCGTAGACAGATTGGCATGAAATTTTGTCTCATGAAGGGGAGATTATCAACATATATTCATGTTAGATATTGATATTTTAATTGACTGATAATAACAGATAAACACAAATTAATATTCCAGTTACATTGTACTTTTGTATTATAGACCAAAACGCAATTTTGACACTAGCTAATGTTAAAATAAATATTAGTTTGAAATATAAAATACTTAATACTTTACAAAACAATTTCAGTTATAAATCTAAAATTGTGCATGCTGCATGCTAGTGTGCTATTTCTAATTTTGTAATAATTTGATCAAGTTAAGACAGAATTTCACAGCTAAATAATTAAATATCATAATAGACATTATTTCATAGTGAAATATTGTCATGTACAGAATTTCATAGTGAAATATTGTCCAGAAGGAGGTGACAAAATTTCATGGACAAGGACACTATTTCATAATGAATTATTGTCCTGGACAGTATTTAATTATGAAATAGTGTCCACGGACAATATTTTATATGAAATTTTGTCCAACGGACAATAATAACGGACAATATTTCATGGGGTACAATATTTTATGTTACATTTGATCATCATGACAATATCTATTATTCATTTCGTCAAAATAATTTACAAAACACTTAAGGAAACCTGTTTACGTTTTAAGAATGTCACTTTATTTTACCACAACAGAAAACAAAATTTATTATCTTTGTTTTTTATAGCAATAGCCAAGACTCATTTTACAAAAAAACTTACGAGAAAAAATTTCATAAGTCAAGAACAGTTCTGTATAACTTACAATCAATTTTAGTCGTAATTTTTTTTGTGTGAAAAGAGCCCCAGAGCTATTTCTGTTTTAGGGGGAAATACAATTCATTTGAAATTTGATGTTAGGAAAAAACCTTTGAAATCCTCTTTTGGTTTTTGTCTCAGTGACGAACATGATGAAAAACACCATTTCTCATTTCTCATGTTTATCATGTTTATATACTGGTAACATATCTTTTAATTGGTGTCTCTTTCCTTAATTTTTTGTCAGTTATATTTACATTTGGCATACTCCTTTCTATAATACTAGCAAAAGTATGTAAGATACACTAACTAAAAGTAAAACATGATTAAAATATTGTTCAAAACAAAACCTTTTGTGGCAGACAGGATTATTATGTAATCAGTCAGGGGTACTACTTATACAAGTGATTTCATTATCACCTATTTCAGTCAGGGTTCTCACTAAGGCGAGTCCATGAGTCCTAGACTCATGAAAATCTGTCTGGACTCACCATTTTCAAAACTGGTGAGTCCAAAGATGCATCAAGATTGTAATATTTTGTATAAACTGAACACACATATCATCATTTCATAGCAAAAATTTAAAAGAAATCTGAATTTAATGTCATTTCATTGCTCTATTAGGTCATGGAGACTAAAATAATAAATTATATTGCAATAAAATATCTTCTTCTTACTATTGGACTCACCATGGCCAAAAATGACGAGTCCCTGGACTCCCCTTCAAAAATCCTTAGTGAGAACCCTGTTCAGTGATTTGATAAATTCAGTTATCACCTATTTATATCATCCAGAATATACCTCCTTTCTAAAATAAAGAAATTTTTAGATATAAATGCAAGGAAAACATATTACAATGGGTATATTCTGCCCCTGATTGACTACTGCTGTATTATTTGGGGTGAATGTAAAAATGAAGGGATAGCAAGAATTTTAAAACTCCAAAAAAGGGCAGCAAGGTTAATTCTAGATGCAGTTCCTTTATCCCCCTCAGCCCCCTTATTTAAAGAACTTGGGTGGATGACAGTTGACAATAGAATAAAATACCACAAATATTTACTTCTATATAAATGTATGCGTATGGAAGCACCAATGTACCTAGTTCAAAAGTTTAAACTGAAATCAGATAATAATCCTTACTCCCTGAGAGGCGTCACTCAAGGTAATCTGATAGTTCCTAAGCCAAAAGCTGAGCTATTTAAGAAATCTTTTGTTTATTCTGGATCAGTGTTATGGAATGGACTACCAAACAAAATGCGTAAAGCTCAAAACACTTATACTTTTAAACAAAGTATCAAGAAGTACTTAACACAGTCCTGATAAGATTATGTTTTCTGCAATGTATTTGTATATTCTTTTATTTATATTTGTATTTGATTTTTTGACTACATGTACATCTTGAACAGACTTATATCTTATCATGTTAGTAATATTACATTGAACTAATTGACTGTAAATTAACTATGTGTAAATATCTGTTTTTGATTGTATTGTAATTTGTATGTGAGGGCCTCAGGGAAGATTAGTTTATTGTAACTAACTGAGTTTACCCTCTTTAAATAAAGAATTTATTATTATTATTATTATTATTATTTAAGTGATTTTGATGTTTCCTTTGATCTTCAAATGCTAATTTCATTATTTTTCCATATTTTGACAAATTTTCTGTAATTTTCCGACATAGATCAATTATTCTTTTCTCTTTTATATTAATTTCACCAGTGGGCTTGGGCAGTAAGTTAGTGTGCTAAAGTTTTTTAAAAGTATCCTTGGGAATGTTTCTGTAATCAAATATTCATTAACTACTCTTACAATCAGACAAAGGTCAACAATTTTAAGTAACCTATCAGATTGGTCTTCTTTAGAGTTCGAATGATCTACTTCAAGGTTATGTCCTGATCTACAAATTATTCCAGTTTATGCATATTTTAAATAAACTGTAAAAACTGACAGGCTCATCATGCAAAAGATAATTTCTGCATGTATATAGTTGTTTTTTAAATGGAATCCTTGACTTTTTACCAATAAAAAAATCAAGCTTGTGGGAAAAATATCAAGAAAATGTTATAAACACTTATTGAAGTGATTACATTTTTACTTCTCAAATTACTTCAATGTACTTGTTTCAGTGATTTTAAAAAGTCTATGTCTATTTTTATGAAAATTTTCAATTTTTCAAATCCAAAATCACTTAAAGATGTGATTCTGAAATCACTTGCATAAGTAGTACCCCTGAATGGTAATTGTTATTTCCCTTGTTTATAACTATAAATTTCATATATCTCCATTTAATAATTTACATTCATGATGCTTATTCAGTACATATTTGTTAAATTGAATAGATATTGGTATTTTGAATTCATTTGGTAAAGATATTTATTTACATTCTAAAGTTTAGTATTTGCATGGTTGCAAATCATTTATAACCATCTTTGAAAAACTTATACATTTCATATGGAATTATTATATTGAATTGTCTGAGGACAGTACCGACTGTGCGAGGGCTGTATAGCCAGTCAAGGTTGTTAAAAACTCTAATCATCATCTGAGGACTGAAGTTCAGTCCAACCTAGGAAAGCTGTGCTTTTCCAAACCTCCCTTTAAGGTTAGTGCATCTGCCATGTGCATTCTTAATACGGGTAATTATTGAAGTCATTGAATGCTCCATTTCTTAACTTTTGGATTTCAAGTTATTGAATAAATTATACCCATTGGTGGCCTTCGGCTGTTTTCTGCTCTTTGGTCGGGTTGGTGTCTCTTTGATACATTCCCCATTTCCATTCTCAATTTTACATTGTTTTCTGCTCTTTGGTCGGGTTGTTGTCTCTTTGACACATTCCCCATTTCCATTCTCAATTTTACATTGTTTTCACTGTTATTGGTTTTCATTTACTTAGATATTTAGATAGCGCTTTTACATTTGGCATCCATCGTCTCCGTTTAAATCAGTTCACAAACTAGAACAAGCTGTGGTCTGCATCCCCGAATCTCCAGCAGAATATTGTTCCTGCTACACTTTAAACATGTTAAAAAGGCTGTGAACTGTAGGGTGATAAATTGAAAGGGGTGAACATGAATGGGAGCGAACGTGATTTTGGGTGAACGGATCCGGATTCCACATCATGAAGTTACCAACCATGCCAATTGTAGGATGACATAAAATTTATGTCATACAGGTCAGTTGGCATGGGCCATGGTTGGTAACTTCATGAATGAGTGCACACTTGGACGTATCTGCAATTAAGATAACAAAGTATGTGCATGGTGCTTAAATTAAACGTAGTTCCTCACCTATACATTTACATGTTAATGCCTCTGAGAACAGTGGCAAACGAATTCTCAAAGTCAAAAAATTCATTTTTCTTCAGAGGTGTAAAATTGCAAAACAAGACCGGTTGTGCATGGTTTATTCCGGATATGTGTCTGAAAGAATACATGTCTGATACACCTTTTGCATGATTATCTTAGTGGGAACTTACAGCATGAATATCAATACAATATGATTTATCGCCATTAGAAATAGAAAATAAATATTGCTAATTAATAAAATAAATAAAAAAAATGATTCCGGAAATCCATTGATATGGTTTTGTATTTAGAATGCTGTGAACCGGAAGCACGTGTTGCGTCAAAACAAATCAACACATTTATCCATTTATTAGTGTACAAGTTTAATAAACAGTCACAGGTAAACAACAACTCAGAAAGAACACTTTGAATATTTTAACAATAGCTCAATTCCTAATATTTTGATTTCTGTGTGAAATTCCCTGTTAGAAATCAGAGTTTGGAAGTATTTTTCTGATTTGGCTACGCACTAAACAGCTTAACTTTTTGGACAGTTGTGGATGTTTTAGTTGTGTAAAATAATTTGTTTTAAGGGTGGAGGATTGGGAACTTCGTTTCTCTCATATTGTTGAGGTTCACATTTGGCAGAATTGATAAAAACACAGATCTAGAATCAGACAGCTGTCAGACTCTTTAAAGTACTAAACAGTAAACTTCATGTGTATGCTTATATACTGTGCATATTTACATCCATTGCTTATGAGGGGTAGCATTATTATAGCTGTGGAACCGTAGCTCTTAGGTCCTTATGATAATTTATTTTTACTATAAATTTGCGGACCACAAATGAGGGGCCTGATGGGTTATTTTCGTTCTTCGTGATTGGCGTATTTTCGCTATCGTGATCCGTTTTTCTACAGATTTTTTTTTTTTTATATTTTCGTGATCCGTGATCATGGAAATTTATTTTCTGTGAATCGTGATTGACAAAAAAATCAACTCGTGAATCGTGATGAGACCCCCCCATCAGGCCCCTCACAAATAGTAAAAAATATCATAAGGACCTAAGAGCTACGGTTTCGCAGCTAGCATTACTAATGCTAAAACTGTACATGTGTCACAGCAAAAAAAATAAACAGTCTTTCAAGAGGTCATAATTATTGAATTCCTAAGACAGTTCGGCACCCGGCACCGAGAAAGACACTTCGGCCTCCAGACAAATCGGCACCTAGACAAATCGGCACCTCATAAAGATAAAATCAATTATTAAATTCTTGATCAAAATATATGAACCAAAAATTAAAGTTACCTGGCACTGATATAGGTATGTGGGCATGAACTCAATTTGCAACTTTAGTGTTATTATAGCAATTATTTTCGACTGTTTTTACAAATTACCAATTTGATTCCTGCACTATTTATGACATTATTGTATATGGTATCTTCGAAGAAGTATCTTATGAAGTGGTTTGTGTGTATTCTTTTTCCTGATGCATGAAAATTGATTTTATAGATTTCACCATGCATGTACTAGTTTTAATTTATGCATAGTTCTATTCTGATAGTATTCTAAATCAATAAAACACATTTAGCATACTTATAATATTTATTTTATTAATATTTATTATAATTATATTCATCAGTTTATAGATGCATTAACAGCACTAGATTTGCATAAAAGGTGAACATATGATAGTAATGAAATATTTAAAATACTGTAAATATAACATATAGCATATATACAGGCAGCACTATAAGTTCTAACAAAGTCACTTTGGTGGTGGTCCGTACACACTGGAACATTCCTTTAGCATAGCAGTCTGATCTAGGATTATACTATTACTGTAACAACTCTTTTACTTTCTTTATATATATATATAGAGAGAAAAATGAGGTGCCGAATTGTCTTGGTCCCGAAATGTCCAAAACGGATGCCGAAATGTCTTCAGACCTAGGTGCCGAAATGTCTTGTTACCATAATTATTTGGACTACAAACCCTCAATCTCTGGATTTAAAGGCAGCTGATACTCTAAACCGACTGAGCAAAAGAATATTTTCGCTAAGTCAACCAGTTAGATAACCTTTTAATCACCAGTTTTTATCAGGGATGAATATATTAATTTATTGTGATAACATAATCAACATTACCAAGTCAAGGATCCAAAATGGCAGTTCTAGATTCAGCAGTCTCCATTTAATTTTTGTTGTCAATAGGTCTTAATAGACTAGCTAGACACTCAACCTGGCATTTGTATACACAGTGTTAAGGTTAAAGTTACATGTTGTGTATTTTATAAAAAAAAAATCATTTTGTCAATGAAAAATCACACATACATTTGTAATAATTCAAATGTTTAATTATGACAAGCTTATGGCTTTAAATACAGTTTGTTATTTGCTTCAGGAATGACAACTGACAATAATCTGGAACCTAGTGATAGGAGAATTCTGGTTCAGTTTAAAAGTGAGACAGGAGAAGTTAAAGGAAGTCCGTTTGATATACCTATAGATATAAATTCAGAGAAACTACAACTTGTATGTAATGCACTGTTAACAAATGTAAGTATGTCATGAGTATAAATCCACACACAAATGTCAAGTTATGTTAGCTGGGTATTCTGAAAATTCATTTATATCTTGGTTTGAGTTAAATACATTTATATTTTGGTTTGAGTATAAATCAACACGCAAGTGTCAAGTCAAGATAGTGGGGCATTCTGAAAATACATTTATATTATGGTTTGAGCTAAAACTCATACTCAACTGTCAAGTCAAGACAAAACATAATAGATATAAATGACATTTGCATGTTAAAAAGTTTTTGGTGGAAGAACACTTTGAAGTCTTCTGAAATCCTATACTACCGGCTGTAAAATCATTGGACCGTCACCAGGAGTGTTGCCGTATCCTTTTCTGTGCTTTACAATTTCATAACTTCCGTGCCATATCTTGACACATATCTTGAACCCTATTTAAACCATATCTTGAACCCTATTTAAACCTGCTAAACTTTAAACAAAGGCAGGCATTAACAAAACTCAGAATTGGGGACCATCAGCTTAAAATTGAAACAGGGAGACACAAAAACATCCCAGCTCCTGAGCGTATTTGTAAACTTTGTGAGGAGGAGGTGGAAGATGAGATCCACTTTCTCCTTCAATGCAAAAAATAAGAAACTTATAGAAAAACATTTATAAAAGAACTTTGTATTTCTTATCCTAATCTAAAGAAATGTAGCACCGAAAATATGTTTACATGGCTAATGGGTTGTGAGAATCTAGAAGTTCTAAAACGCCTATGTAATTTAAAAATCAGTCTCTGGACTGAGAGGGATAATATTATGTTAAAAAAAGTTAATGATGCCGGTTAACTGACCCAGTGAATAATTCATAGGCCAAATTTGAATTTATGGCACTAATGATATCCATAAACAGTTGAATATATGCCTCAACATTTCTGTATGTTAAATATATATACATATCTGGGGTTTTGCTTTTTCTTTTGTGTTTATTTTTTCTCTATTCTATATTTTGTCATTATATATCATTAAGAATTAATAATAATCATTGTAATAAATTATTTGTAATTATACTGCTCTCTTAGGGCGTCCTTGATTGACAATAAAAATATTGTATTGTATTGTATTGATGTTTACACATGATTGGTTTCAAGTTTGTAAAATAGCATCTGCATAACTTTATAAAACAAATGTACAGCTAGGCTTGAAAAAACAATCACTTTTGACTATCGTTAGTGTTATAAATTCTCATGTTATAATATCTACCTTTTTATTTATGTTAATTATTAGATTTCATCTCATCTTACATGTATGTTATTTATTTACTTGTAATCGGATATTTTGAAAGTAGATTTGGTAGTACAAATGTATAGTCAGTTTTGTTTGAGACATGAGTATTATTAAAGAATATTATTTTTGGAAGACAAAAATACATAGAAAGCAATAATGGGACAGAGCAGGCTGGGTTGGTTTGGGCTGCTTTCATGGTAATTCAAGTTTCCTTTTATGCATCTTCTTGCACCTCAGAGCTATTAGCTCTTTGGTTATAAATATCAACCAAGCAAACGCTAAATTTCAATTTTTTCATTATTTTTTATTTACAGGAAGAAAAAGTTCCCTACACATTTTTTGTGAAAGAAACAGAGATCACAGATACATTATCTAAGGCTTTAGATAAAGACACATTAGAACAATCAGAGGAGGTATTGGACATTATATATCAACCACAGGCTATATTCCGTGTCAGACCAGTCACTAGATGTACTAGTTCTATAGAGGGACACGCTGAGGCTGTTATTTCTGTAGGGTTCAGTCCTGATGGGAGATACCTGGCTAGTGGGTCAGGTGATACAACTGTCAGGTTTTGGGATATTTATACAGAAACACCACAGTTTACTTGTAAAGGTAAGGTCAAGCCTAGTGGTAACTTTGGTTTGTGGAGAGGATGACTTTAAAATATTTGAAAAAAAAAACTACAAAAAAAACACCATAGCTTGCATGTTTTAGGTTTGTATCTGTGTTAATTAGTGGAACAACACAAATTTGGAAAACATTTTTTACTAGTGCAATGCTCTTTCTTTCAATAGCTGGAAGTTCAAGGACATATTATTTTGCACGTTTGTTATTGTCCAGATGTTATCTCCCCTGGAATAAGTGCAGAGTAAGCATGCCATTGATCTAAGGGTACCATTTATTTCATGGGTGATGGTAACTGAAACAGTTCTTGTAGGGGTAATATTTCTGTATAGTAAACTATAGAAGACCCCAGTGGTTCTTAATATGCAATAGCTAAAAAGAAAAAACCAACAGCCTGATTTATAAACAAAAAGGCTCACACAGCAACCAAACCAGGTTGCTTGGTGCAATAAAAAGAATGGGAGAGAGTTAACATGCTTGTGAGTGCTGAAGCCTTCCACTAATATGAGGCTGTTGTGAAACAACAGAACATGAGAATAAACCCTAAAAAATCAGTTGGGAAGGCTTGACTGATCAGATAGGGAAGAAACACAACACCAGTATGTATTCAACCATTCATTTAATTCTATTTTCTTCATGATGAATGTTTAAATGACCAATATTTTTCCGATTCTTGAAAGATTAATCATCATTTTAAACATGTTAAAGAGGATGATGTTATTAGAATTTGATTATTTCTGTTCATTGTACAATTATATTCAGGAACGTTTTCTTATTAAAATAAATAAGGACTTTGTCAATGTCACACAATAGCTAATTTTTTTACAAAGGTTATTTTGGGTCGTAAGGTTTAATGAAAGTGAAAATTATCTTGTTTAATTTTATTTTTAGCTTACAGAATTTTTATACTGTGTATACACACAGTCTTCACACTTTATATCTAAACCTACAAGTCAATAGGACTTGTGGTTCATAAGATTTTACAAGTCCGTAGAAAATTCTACAAGTCCACACAAATTACTATCACCGATGAGCAGCGCATGGTGCTGCGAACTTGGTAGGGGGTCTGGGGGGCATTCCCCATCCAGAAAAATTTTGAACAATTAGATGCAAAATCCTGCATTCTGAGAGCTTTGAGTGTCATGTTTTGAAGATACCTAATTAATAAATTTAATAGGAATAACATTGACCATTGGAGAAAAAAGTTAAAAGTAGCTGTTATAAGAATTTTATTCTCTAAAAAGATTTAGAAAGAAGGTGTCTATATCTTTTTCTGTCATTTCTGGATAGTCTAAATCATCATCATCATCATCATCTGAATAGTCATCTTCGTCTGAAAGGTTGCCTTTGACATACTGTGCTAGAAACATTTTTGTCTGTCATACTACCAACTACCAAAAAATCTACGGACTTCTGAAGAACAAAATTTGACAAGTCCATGTCCAAGTCTTGTGGCTGAATTCGAAGACTGTATACATGTAGCCTGGTTGTTAACTGGTTGAAAGTTAATGTCAGATCTGATTTATTTATCGGTATTAAATCTTGTTTTAATTATTTTCAGCACATAAACATTGGGTATTGTGTATAACCTGGTCACCTGATGGTAAAAAGTTAGCGTCAGGCTGTAAAAATAGTCAGGTAAGTTGGTCCTCAGTATTTTAGCCAGGTACTGTTAAATTGGTAAATTTTTTAAAACATACCCATATTTCTGTCAATTGACTCTTGATTTATAATGTTAATACTACATATGAGCTACGTCGTATAGAAATCGACCTTATGCAAGTGCATGTATACATGTATATGTATAAGACTTTTATTAGTTTTGGAACATTCAAATACGAAATAAAAGATGAATTTTGGTCTGTTTTGTAGGGTTCTTAATGCAACTCAATTTTCGAACAGTTACAGACTTTCCATAGAAATTTTTTCAACCCGAAATAGGTTAACAGATGTATTGATATTCATTTGCATAAGGTCGATTTCTATCCGTAAATTTACATCTATTTATTATATCTACCTTCATTCGATTCATTAAGATTATCAAAACTAATTAATTTATAAGAAACCAGAAATTGTTTCATATAACATATGAAAATAAGCAGTAAGAATACTTATAAAGGGATCAAAGTTTGTGAACCAATCCATAGATTTAATCTCTTTAAGTAAAAAGAAATTTAAAATGAAACTACTACTTTATTAATTTGGTCCAATTGAAGGACTTTTCTGGATTGACCTTCTTTTGAATTAACATCTATGCAATATATGGCTGCCACAAACGTGAAACATTTTAAAATTAATAATACAAATAATCAACATTGAAAAAGAAGTTCCATTCAAGTACCATACAAAAGTTTTCCATATTCTTTACTATAAACATTTTCCAGATATGTATATGGGACCCCTCCACAGGGTTACAGACAGGAAAAACCTTAACGGGACACAGACAGTGGATTACATGGTTGGCATGGAAACCATTACATTTGTAAGTTCATTTTGATGTACATATAAATGTACAATGTATTGTTGCAACTTGATTTTAAATCTTCACCATCCTTGCCTTTTTCCTGCAATTACCTACCCTTTTCACCTCTATTCCTTGTGTAAAAAAACACAATACTACATTTGAACGTTATTTCCTTTTTATGTATTATTAAGTCAAATACACATTAACATGATTAAAAAATGATTTGATGTTTAACAGTGGTAAATATATCATGCATATTAAAACAGTTAACGAATTAGTCGTTAATGAGATATAAACATACCCTGCTTTTTCCTGTACCAACACACTGAGCCAGGTTCTTAATGTGCAGGCTCAAAAGGTAACAGACCACAGGAAGACAAATCACCCTAATGTGACACATTTATGACTCTAAGCCAACCAGTCTGCTCTTACTTCTAAATGCTGCATGCTTGACAAAGATGCAGCAAGTACCAGTTTGTCTATGATTTTATCCAGCTTGGGATAGGGTCAGGGAATATAACATGAAATTACTGGAGACAATGCTGTATGGTTTGTCTATGATTTTATCCAGTTTGGGATAGGGTCAGGGAATATAACATGAAATTACTGGAGACAATGCTGTATGGTTTGGTTAACTATCTGTATTCATGGTATTTGGAAGATTTGTTTAATTTGTCAACTTAATACTATTTTGATGTTTATTCTTAAAATTTTTTGGCAATTTATTTGTGCCTATTTTTATTTTATTTCAGAGACCCAGAATGTAGATTCCTAGCAAGTTCCTCAAAAGTATGTTTTGTTTTATTTCATTTATCAAATCTGTTGTTTTAAATGATTTAAGTAACATATGTTATGGTTTAAGAATTCAATGGTGAAGCTCATAAGATCTCAGGCTGATTACATCATACACTATCATCTCAAGGATTGCCAAATTTTTAGTCCATTTGAAAGCCTTTCAAATGTTACTCCTTCAATACTTAAAAAAAAATTATAGAATCCTTAATTACGATTAAAGTTAGAAAGTACAGAAATCATATGATGAGTAAGATTGACTAACTGACTCATTCACAAGCAAAAAATAAAATTCTTTTTTTTTTTTAACAATAACAAATTATTTATTGCGCTATCTAGTTGTATGCAATTGTCCAACAAAACTCATGACTATAAAGATAAGAAGATGTGGTACGATGTGGTATGATTGCCAATGAGACAACTCTCCCAGACAGACCAAATGATGTATAAGTGAACAAGTATACACAGTCAGGAGCCTCTAGCCTTTGTTAGTCTTGTATTATTTTTAATTTTAGTTTCTTGTGTACAATTTGGAGTTTAGTATGGCGTTCATTATCACTGAACTAGTATATATATTTGTTTAGGGGCCAGCTGAAGGACGCCTCCAGGTGGGGGAATTTCTCGCTGCATTGAAGACCTGTTGGTGACCTTCTGCTGTTGTCTGTTCTATGGTCGGGTTGTTGTCTCTTTGACATATTCCCCATTTCCATTCTCAATTATACCTTAACAAATACCAAAACCCATACCACATTGTAAACTATAAAAGTCCTCATAATGACAAATACAAACTTTAAAAATAAAATAATTAGGGTATATATGGGACACATTACTGAATTGTAGATATTTGGTCTAAAAATTAGGGTATGGGAGACATTACTGATTTGTTGTAGATATTTGGTCTACAAATTAGGGTATGGCAGACATTACTGATTTGTTGAAGATATTTGGTCTAAAAATTAGGGTATGGGAGACATTACTGATTTGTTGTAGATATTTGGTCTACAAATTAGGGTATGGCAGACATTACTGATTTGTTGTAGATATTAGGTCTACAAATTACTGGTAGGGTATGGCAGACATTACTGATTTGTTGTAGATATTAGGTCTACAAATTAGGGTATGGGAGACATTACTGATTTGTTGTAGATATTTGGTCTAAAAATTAGGGTAAGAGAGACATTACTGATTTGTTGTAGATATTTGGTCTAAAAGTTAGGGTATGGCAGACATTACTGATTTGTTGTAGATATTTGGTCTAAAAGTTAGGGTATGGGAGACATTACTGATTTGTTGTAGATATTTGGTCTAAAAGTTAGGGTATGGGAGACATTACTGATTTGTTGTAGATATTAGGTCTACAAATTAGGGCATGGGAGACATTACTGATTTGTTGTAGATATTTGGTCTAAAAATTAGGGTATGGCAGACATTACTGATTTGCTGTAGATATTTGGTCTAAAAATTAGGGTATGGGAGACATTACTGATTTGTAATAGATATTTGGTCTAATAATTAGGGTATGGCAGACATTACTGATTTGTTGTAAATATTTGGTCTAAAAATTAGGGTATGGGAGACATTACTGATTTGTTGTAGATATTTGGTCTAAAAATTAGGGTAAGAGAGACATTACTGATTTGTTGTAGATATTTGGTCTAAAAGTTAGGGTATGGGAGACATTACTGATTTGTTGTAGATATTTGGTCTAAAAGTTAGGGTATGGGAGAAATTACTGATTTGTTGTACATATTTGGTCTAAAAATTAGGGTATCTGAGACATTACTGATTTGTTGTAGATATTTGGTCTAAAAGTTAGGGTATGGGAGATATTACTGAAATGTAGATTCATTGTATATGATTTCAGGATGGAACAGTAAGACTATGGGATACATTACTGAGTACATGTACTCTTATCTTATCTAGCCATTTACAGTCTGTGACATGTGTGAAATGGGGAGGGACTAATCTACTGTATACAGCATCACAAGACAGAACAGTTAAAGTCTGGAGAGCTGAGGACGTGAGTAAATATATACAACAATGGGGGGAAGGGGAATGGGGAGGGACTAATCTACTGTATACAGCATCACAAGACAGAACAGTTAAAGTCTTGAGAGCTGAGGACGTGAGTAAATATATACAACAATGGGGGGAGGGGGAATGGGGAGGGACTAATCTATTGTATACAGCATCACAAGACAGAACAGTTAAAGTCTGGAGAGCTGAGGATGTAAGTAAATATATACAACAATGGGGGAGGGGGAATGGGGAGGGACTAATTTATTGTATACAGCATCACAAGACAGAACAGTTAAAGTCTGGAGAGCTGAGGACGTGAGTAAATATATACACCAATGGGGGGAGGGGGAATGGGGAGGGACTAATGTGTTATATACAGCATCACAAGACAGAACAGTTAACGTCGGGAGAGCTGAGGATGTGAGTAAATATATACAACAATAGGGGGAGGGGGAATGGGGAGGGACTAATCTGTTATATACAGCATCTCAAGACAGAACTGTAAAGGTCTGCAGAGCTGAGGATGTGAGTAAATATAAATTTAAACAATAAATGTGTGTAAAATAATAGTAACCTCCTCTGTTATAACGGCCTCTGTGGTTGTTTGTTAGCATGATCGCCTCCAGTGTGGGAGGTCTTGGGTTGAAACCCTAGCCAGGTCAAACCAGAATTGAAATTGGTATTAGCTGTTTTTTCGCTAAGCACTCAGCATTAAGGAGTAACAGTGGAGACTGGTCAGCTTAGAGTCATGTCTTTCTGGGATTTGTTACCTTGTGAACACTAGCATGTTGAAAATAGAGCTCAAGGTGTCAGTATAGTACAAACATGACAAAGCAGGGTTTGTATTCTAATCATATTATCATACTCTCTCAACCTGAATATGCATTTAATATTCCACTGGACCTTAAACTTCCGTCCATCCATTCATCCCATTAGTTTTATTTAGTATATATAAAATAAAAAAGGTCCTATTGCCCCTCTTTACATTTTCTGAGCTTGTCTAGAACAGGGTTTACATTTTTCTGAGCGTGTCTAGAACAGGGTGTGTTTTTCCAATATTTTCTGTAAAGAACAGGGTATGATTTGACAATTGCATTCGACACAATTATGACCAAAAGAATGGCAAGTAACCCCACCCCCATCCCCTACTCCCCAAATTGAGATGTCCCCCTTTTTCCTATCTGGTCACTATTTCCACTAATAAAGAACAGTGTTAGGATTCTTCTTCGTTTTGGTCAGACATATCAATAATAACCCTTACACAGAGCTTAAACGGTTTGTATACTTTAATATTATTGGGTACACTTGTAAAATAATTGACCTTTCTTTATCCACGTTATCTTTACTTTGAAACTGGTAACCTCCCGAAAGATACCGAAAGTCAGACAGTGGCGCCATCTGTTATCATAATACGAAATGTGGCATAAAATGAATGTACAAATGTCGAATGAACAAATCACCCACTTTGCAATCATTGTGTTAGAAAAGTGTCGATTTACAAGTATAATACACTTTTACAAATAACATAAAAGTAAAGATGCTAATTGACATCTACAAATTTACAAATTACAAATAAACATATCACAAATGTAGCACCTAATGATCAATATACAAATGTTGAATTGACAAATTACAAATTCAAGAATTACAAATATACATATCTCAAATGTACAAATTGCACAGTTATACAAGTTACAAATCAGTGACAATTTACGAATTAAGCAGTTTGAAATTATACAGTTAAAAGTGACAAGTTGACAATTTATGAATTTAGAATTTTGACCCAGTTGGCTTTCCACAATAATATACCTGTTCCTCAGTAACTGTTATTTTATATTGTAAAATAGAGAATGGAAATGGGGAATGTGTCAAAGAGACAACAATCCGACCCAAGAGTAAAAAAACAGCCGTAGGCCACCAATGGGTCTTCAACACAGCGAGAAAATATGTAGTATATTGAGTTGTGTATCACAGTGGATATGTGTTGGTGTTGACCTTCAAGTTAAAGTGAGATTCATATTGCATGATGTATTTGACCATTTACTTTAACCTTGAAAAAATTCAGTGACAAGATAGCTTCGATTATATTACAAATATTAAGGTGTGAAAATACATAATCAATGTGAAAGAAAGTTAAAGTTAAATTTAATAATAGAATTTAACTTTCAAAACTTCATTTCTTAGAACAACAGAACTGAAAGTTGAATATCTTTACAGGGTGTACTTTGTCGGACTTTACAAGGTCATGGCCACTGGGTGAATATTTTAGCACTAAGTACAGACTATGTTATGAGAACAGGAGCATTTGATCCAGCCAAAGCTACAGTTGTACATCAAGAGGTCACAGATACAGGTTAGTGTCAAGGTTAAAGGTTATGGCCACTGGGTGAATATTTTCGCACTTAGCGCAGACTATGCAATGAGAACAGGAGCATTTGACCCAGCCAAAGCTACAGTTGTACATCAAGAGGTCACAGATACAGGTTAGTGTAAAGGTTAAAGGTCATAGCCACTGGGTGAATATTTTAGCACTAAGTACAGAATAAGTTATGAGAACAGGAGCATTTCATTCGGCCACAGCTACAGTTGTACATAAAGAGGTCACATATACAGGTTAGTGTTAAGGTTAAAGGTCATGGACAAGTAAACAGTGCTCTTGCTGGGGATTCAAGGGTAGAGGGGCACAGTATCTAGTCTGAAAAGGGACATAACATATCATATTTACAGATAAAATTAAAGAGGTTAAGAGCACAAACTTTCTGGACTATAAGGCCAGAGGGGAGCTGTATCCCTCTATTTTGTCTAGCTAGAACACTAGTAAATGTTTGAGCACAAAGTGCATAGACCATCAGTGAAAAAGATATCCTGAAGTACAGATAATTATAGGTTTTATAATGAGTGAGAATCTTTTACTATTTAAATTAGATAATAGAAGTTGATATTAAGTCATATCCAATTATCCACTAGTTGTTTTACTTATTTCTCTTATGGTAAAAATACTCATTGTGCAAAATAAATAATTACGCGACTCAATGATCTAGTATTTTGCACATACCAGTACGATGTCATATGTCCTTTTTTGGTGTCAAACTTTTAATATCAGACATTTTAAAACTTTTTATATGCTTCAGAATGTAATTTAAGAACATTTTTATGTAAAAATTTTGTTCCTTTATGTAGAAATCAAATATTACCTTTGCCATGGAGGGGAGGAAATATACATTGTTTTGACTTTTAAAGGTCATCAATGACCTAACAAATAGCCAATGGAAATGTGGCAATATCCTTCCATGGTGCTTGATAAGCCAATAAAATTAAAACTGTTTTTGTATGACACTCCATGTAGTGTGATATGAGAAAAATCTCTTCATGTTAGAAATAGATAAAAGGCCACATCCATAGGAAAACAGCTCTTGGTATTTAACCCAGTCACAAGTGCAGTACATGTATAAAAGGTAGCTGTCAAGGTCATTGAAATATCTTGCAAGATCAATTAATACCTACATACCTCATTATATTGTACTGACATATGACTGACCAAATCATGTAATTGTTACACAGAGAAAATATTTTGGTATTTTGTAATGATTGGGGTGACATAATGTACCGTCTGTGTAGTTTATATCTTAAATGTGAAGTTAAGAGCCCTTGACACAGACCATAGATAACTCATATTCTGTAATTTTAATTTACATGCTTTTCTTTTATTCATATTTGCTTGATGTTTATTATTTACTAAAGAGGTTTTTTATGCCCTACTTATGGTAGTAGGAAGGTGTTATGTTTTCTGGTCTGTACATCTCTCTGTCTGTCTGCCACTTAGACAGTCTGTCTGTCCTATATCAGGTTAAAGTTTTGCATTAAGGTAGGTTACTCTGAGGTTGTAATCATATATATCTACTTGATGTGAACTTTATAAATATTATACCAAGTAATTGTTCTGACCTTGATTTTATAGTTCACTGAACATAGAAATGTGATAGTGTGAAGTTATAGTACATTCTCAGGTTAAATATTTTGGTTAAAGAAGTTTTCCATGAAATGCACGTCACATCAGCTTAAGTACACATGATGATTGTGATGCAAACTTTTGAAATTTTATGCCAAATTACGATGTAAACCTTGAGGGCTATTCCATTTAAATGTATGTGGGAGGGTAGGAAGGGAAGTTTAATTATTGATTGTGGGTTATGGGTCTTTTTTCAGTATGCGTCTATTACCATTATGCGAAATTATCTAAAAAATGGTTCTTGGTTGTAGAGATGTTTTGAAAGTCCCTTCCTACCCTTCCACATACATTTTAATGGAATAGCCCTGATTTCATTTTGTCCAACGAACGCAGACACATAATTGGTTAAGTTGCGCATGGTTCCTATGGACACATATTGAATTTCTTGTTTCCTTTTAATTCCATGTCTTAATGTCTTAATATTTGAAAAATTAGATCCAACTGTCATGAAATTATAAGTTATTTAGTAACAAGAATAGAAAATAACCATCCATCATTATTGAAATAAGCCACTAATGTTAAGTCAACGATATTTAGTATGCAGTTGTATAAGCATTTGTAAGTCTCATTTCCATGAAGATTATATGTCCACGATCTATCATCATGGTTCATTGACGGTAAAACTTTTGCATAGTTTACAAGTTTAAGTATATTTGTATTGAGGTTTGTTTAAAGGGAACCACTTATGATAAGTCAATGATATCTGGTATGCAGTTTTATAAGCTTTGGCATTTCTCATTTCCATAGAGGTTCTTTGGCCCTACATCGTCAGTCATGGTTCAATGACTTTGAATGTTTTGCAGGTTTTACTTGTTTAAATATCGCCATTTTAATTTCATTATTTGTTTGGCCATTCACATTTTACTATCAAAATTACAAAAAGCGGGAAGTATCTCTGTGTCAACATTTTATATTTGTTATCAATCCACACATGCCACACTAATCATTCATTGTATTTGTTCACAAACAACACAAATTCTTCCATTTCTCTTATTGCATTTTGTACATTGATAATAAGCTCTTGGTGATTCCTCATGTCTATTGTTGAATAGATATAAGAAGATGTGGTATGAGTGCCAATGAGACAACTCTCCATCCAAGTCAAAATTTATAAAAGTAAACCATTATAGGTCAAAGTACGGAAGACTATTTGTTGCCATCTGATGTCGTTTCATTATTTGTTTTGTTTGGTTGCTGTCTAATTGGTGTATACCATACATCGCTTGTTAGTCATATCCGTAGATCTTTGATTTTTCTGTTAAATTTATTCACAACTTGTAGATACTAGATACGATTAAAAGCTTGCTATATATATTTAGTATAGACAGAGAAACTGAAGAAGGCCAGTGGTTGAAATGTCTTATAAACAGTTTATTATAAGTATGTTCCCTTTCAGAATTTCTATACAAGTAAAATTATTTTGGTTTAAATGGGTTACACTTTGTCTGTGATAAGTTTTTCTTCATTGTCTCCAATAATAAATTAGGCTTGGATAATGTTGGATTTTATATAACATGGTTAAATCTACTTCTTTGAAGTTTTGTAGAATTTCAATATCATAAATAAAAACAGCCATAATTTTTGTGATTAAAATATTGTAGAAATATTATTTACTGATAAGACCCCATATATGCATGTTACATGTCAATAAATTTATGGTCTAATATTTGAAAACCAAAGATATTGACAGATTTCTTTTCAAGGTTTGATTTAATGTTCTGATGTTTAATTTGAATGTGTGTTATCTTTTTATCAGATATTTTAAAATTCTGTAAATACATGTATATACTTAAAATATATGTATGAAAGATATCTGCAACAATGTTTTTATTAGGTCAGAATAAAAATAGTGAATTATCATCCACACACATTATTCATGAACAAAAATGTACTTCTTCAATATATTTATTTTCCACACATTTTACACAATATTAACAAAAACAGAAATGAATTGAAATATGTGTTTAAAATGTAAAAATACATGTTAACTCTGTACACACCAAAACACATCATGTGCACACGCTTAATATACTTAGGCTGGAATTTAATCCTGCTACTAATTGATTGGCTGAGATCTAGATTACAAATTAATTATTCATTAATTAACAAGCTGATGATGCTTATTATTTAAATGAGGGACTTTTCTTGGCATAGACAAAAGGACTCCAGCACACAGAGTAAGGACAAATACATGAAATAAAAGAAGATAATAAACTGTGGAATGATTTGGTTCTATCTATGCTTTCGAATGCTAGTCAATTCATTTCAAGTTCGATTCGTTCCAAGCCTATTCGTCCCAGATTTGCTCAATTCTTCCCAAGTCAATGGTCAATTAGTTCCAACTGATTTTGATCATTATTACTGGGACTAAATAATTAGTTCCTACATTTTTAATGTATATGACTCCGTACATTATAATTTTTGTACAGATCAGTGTATGGTGCATGGCAAAAGTAATTTTCACTTAAAAATTTTTGCTATTTGCCATATATTTCATATAAATCTAAGTTTTTCAATAAATTATTTTGATGGCATTTATGGTTGGATTTTAACATACAATGTGTTGAAACGTGTGAAGTCAATTGTTTATTTTCTGTCATTTTTCTTAGGTTGTCTTTGTTTTTTCCTGATGTGAACCTGTATGGTAATATGAGATAACCTGTCTCATGCAAAAAAAACTTACTTTAGTGATTACAATTATTTATACATTTCACTTATAACAAAATTTTGATCATTTATTGTGCAAACAACACAGGAAGACCTCCAAGCCTAAGCTTTTAATTCTTTTGATATTCATCTTCCTTTGAAGTAACTTTTTGGGGTTTTGTACAAGGAAACTGAGTAAAATTTTATATTTTGAAACACAAACAACGCATGCTAATGAATTAGTTATGATGCACTTAAGAAAAACATAGTACACTTGGTATGGTTTCAATTATTATTTACAAACATTTGTGACCCAAGCTGAGACTGGGTTTATTCTTTTGATGAATGCTTAAAAGACTTTTTATGTGCATAGTATTAGAATACAATAAGCACTTATAATGAAATAATGTTTTTTTTTAAAGTAAAATTTTAATTAGTTAGTAGTTTTTTTTTATATTAAATTGTCATGAACTATTTACTTGAATAAAATGTATAATGTCAATATGTCATTTCCAGAATAAACCATAGAAATAAATTCTAAATAAAAATTTGTATACATTATATATAAATTATATAGGAACAGCATTAAAAATTAACATCATTAGGTTATTTTAATAGTTTATATGGTTAAACACTGTTCTATTAAAATTTGGAACTAATGGATCAAGCAACTTAGGACGAATTAGTTGGTACGAATC